AGTTGTAAAATCGGACAAAGTCAGAGAATTAATTCAAAAAACAGATGTTCTGAAATATTTTTGTCTGACGACATTTCCAGCACTAAGTTAGCTTGTATTAATTTTATAATAGGGATTACAGATAACAAATAAAATGTTGACATTCTAGAGAGAGGCTTTCCTTTAGCAACAAAGTTTGGAGGATGACGATTAAAAAAAAAAAACACGGAAGACGAAAAACGAGCCAAAAGTATTTCGGAAGCCTATTCTCAAATAACATGAAGTTTTAATATACTGTACTGACCCTCTCAATGTGAATTCCTCCTTTCACATCTCAGCAGCCTTATGCTGCTATCTGCAAGCTCATTGCAAGGTGATCCATGGAATATAGTCATTTGTCAATAGCATTATCTTGTAATTGTCATTAATGATATTTTCTTTTCATGGTGTAGCTGTGATGGGAACAAATTGTAACCATACTTACATAAGTTGTGTATCTTTACATTTTGTGATGTATTTTCCATTTCTTTAATACCATGAACACCTCAGATGTCCAGTTTTATTTTGTGGATTGTGTTCTCTTTCATTTTTGTCAACTTGAGCTTTGTTTCCTGCTTTGAAGTGATTGAATGTCTTTGAGGGGATTTTGGTTGGGTGGGGAGGGGGTTTGGATGCGGGAGTCTTGGTTGTGCCTTGTGAACACTGAAAAGCAGTAAATAAAGTGTTCTGTTCATTCATTCATTCATTCATTCCAAGGGTTAAGATGGCATATTTTCATATGTTCACCATTTTTAGAATCTGCAAACCTCAAGAAGCCACACCACATAAATTTTTTTTTCAAATTGCGGCCAAAATTTGATAAGGCAGTCTGATAAATTTCACAACAGTTTGCAAACATGAAAACTTTCCAAGGATAGTTGGATGGAGATGTCCTGTATAGATATAAGATTTACTCAGAAGGAATGTATGACCTCAGAGGTCAGAGAAGAGTTTCCTTGAAAGGGCAACTGTCAGAAGTTGGGTTGCTCCCTGTTCTCACAGAAATTACTAAGAGAAGAGTTTGGTGCCAGTCAAACTCATGTCTAAGCTGTCTTGAATAAATTTTGCAACAATCTGGATAATCTCAGTGTGCTGAGAAACTCATCAAAATATTTTCAAAATTCAAACAAATTATCTGAAATTTTGCCACAACGTCAGTAGAATCTCCTCCGAGAAGTTTAAAAACTGTCTAAATTGTTGAGCACTGCTTGTATACTCACAGAATAAACAAATTTTGCTTTAAAATTCCAAAATTTGACAAGCGCATTCTATTTAAAAAGCACAGCTAGTAAATTACCAAAAATTCCCAAAAAATGTTTCACAGTACTACTGTGCTCTGAATTTATAAAATGAGTGTGAAAAATTATGAAGGATGTGTAGAAACTTAGTAAATGAAAAATATTAATGGAATTTATGACTTGATCAGAGATAATATGGTGCACTGACTTGTATAGATTGAAAAACTCAGGGACACTTCAAAGTCAAAAGATCTGCGTGAAAATCTGAACATAAGGATCCAAGCCATAGATATTTTCTCAAAAGATCCAGGAAGTTGGATAACATATTATTTTCCATGCAGGGATATATTTTAAGTAAGTTGAGCAACTCCTTCCAACTAAAAGGTCTGAATTCTAAATGAAGCTTGATGTAACTTTGCAAGGGAATAATTTCGAAGACTTTTTGAAAAGCAAAATATGCATGAGGTAGTGTTCTTGAATTGTTTGAAGAATTATATATTCTGTTACTTTCATAAGTTCTAAAAGCTCCCTCTTGTTTTAAACTGGCCTTAATTTAAAATAAAATTTCCTTCCTACTACAGGTGGTCCTTGAAATTTGACCCTAATCCATTGCCAAACTAGGAGTGAATTGCAAAGCAGCCAAATTGTGAGACACTTCATGAAATTCAAAAATATCAGTCCAAGAATGCATAAAAAGTGGCCAAATCAGGTTGAACTGCTAGTCAACCTTCCTGAAAATTTCACATTCAGATTCCAGGGTGGTTGAATTGCAGGAGGTCAAGTTGTGAGGTATCACCTGTACAGTTCTTTCATCTCTAGAAAGATTGTACATAATTTTATTCTTTAAGTGAAATACAGTAGCCTCATGGCTGAAATATTGCATAAATATGTTACATTGCAGGAAAGACTATTTACGCTCTTTATGAATGTATTGATCAAAGAACTGAATGCTTGAAATTTAGGAGAGTGAATTAGATTTATGCTTATTTGAATTTCAATTCAGGACAATTTCCTGATTCTCTGTGTGGGGAGTTTTCCTTTATGAGTGTACAGCAATGTGTTTTGACCCTGCGATTTTTTGTGTGATTTTTTTTTTAAATCTTCAAGCAAGAAGTTGAGAACAATTTTTGAGTGAATTTCTTAGGAAATTTTTTCTAAAATTGAGAAATAATTGAAATGTTTCCCACTGCAGTCTATGCTGATGAAATTTGATTTTAATGTGATGGGTTAAAACAGCATGCAACTATTTTAAAACATTTACACAGTTGAATGATTGCAATCATTTTGTATTTTAGAGCACCATTGAATAATACTGCATTGGACTTGGCAGAAATACTGTACACTGCTATATTTGTATAGTGAATTTAGTTTTCTGGAATGAAAAGTAGGATTCCCTGCAATTGTACTCAACATAAATGGGTTTCTCTTGATTGCAATAAATCACCTGACGAAGGGAAGTATTCGCATGATCCAGGTCTCAGCAGGGAATGAGACGTTGTCTCTGCACTGCTCCAGGTGTCGCTCCAACATGTGATCAAGGATTTGGTTTCTGTCATATCATCAGCTGAGTCCTCTGAATTGATTCCATTAGTATTCTTCAATGCATGGTTGATGTCTTCTGGTACTGGTTCTGCATTACTGAACCACATTCAATCTGTTATGCAGTTTGAATCCATTTTGAACACTTATATTCAAACACAAAATGGGGTGGACTTTTTCATGAACTGGTAAAATTAGGCTTGCATTCTGTGGACTGGCTAAAAGACAAATTAATTTCAGGTTTTTCTTGACTCAAAAATACTCCAAAACATTAAGTTAATAGCTTAAATTCTGAAGAGTTTGAATGGAATTATCTCATCAGATGAAAGCATAATGTTGTGTTTTGTATAGAAACGTTGGAAAGGTTCATATGTCCACAATTGCACAATCCAACAACTGTTGTTATCAATACTTCTACTAAGTTCATATTATTATGAATGTTGTTTATGATTCCATTCATGAGAAGACAAAATAAGTCACACAGATGGACTCTCTCTTAGTCTAAAACAAAATGCAAGGTACAAAAAAAAAAATTTTGATGTCCAAAGAATTTTTTGTTTTGTTTTGAGCAATGTTCCTTAACCCATGGTCCTCAAAATTGTTGCTGGTCCATAGAATTTTTTTTCCAGTCCAAGGGAAATTTTGGCATAATAAATTTATCAAAAGTAGTAATGCATGCAGTTTGTCACCTTTATCTAACAATTTGGAAGGATATTGACAGTTTAAATTATCTGATGAGAATTAAAAGCTGGCTTTTTTCCTAATGTCACTTCAGGAACATATTCACTAGCTGAAATAAGTTATTTGAGTTTCTTCAGTCCAAAAAACTTTTCTTCATGCCTGTGTTTCAAAATTTTTAAAGACATTCCAATGCAGCTGCTTGGTTATTTTTGTTCTTACTTTTATTCTTGCCAAAAAGCAGACTCTTTTTAAATACTGTACCAGCTGCCATGAAGTTTTTCAAACAAACCTTTCTTCAGTCTGCAAGCCTTTCATGAAACTTTTCTGGTCCACAGAATTATATTTGTTTCATTGAAATTTTCCAGTGCACAGAATTATTTTTTAAATTAAAATTTGCCAGTCCACAGAAAATTTTAGAGAAATTTGCCTGTCTGTGGCCCCAAAATGGTTGTGGAACCCTGGTAAAATATATAGAACCCATTATAAACATGGAGAGAGAATGATATGGGACAAAAGAATATTCATTATACAGAGAGTATTGTTGTATACAAGATGGCTTTAGAGAGAGTCCAGATGTATTGCAGCACATTGTTTTTTTTTCATCTTGCTTGTCTTCTTATTCCCTCATAAATTTGGCACATAGCAAAAATCATTGCACTTTCCTGAATAAATCAATGTTTTGCTTAATTTTTGATTCAGAGATTTGTCAGGTAAGTTTTATTCAAGGTGTATAATAAAATTAAAGGTTATCTGCAAATACTTGAATAATGTACTTCAATGCTGTAAGTAATCAGCGCATAAGAAAGGTTTGTGGGAATTGAAAAAAGAATCTTGTTCAGCATACACATGGTCCAATATGTTCAGACATGTAAATACTGTACTGTAAATGTGCACAAAAATAACACATGTTGAAGAAACTCACTACTGCTCCACTGATTGATGGGAAGGGCAGCAATAAGTAGCTGATGAGGAATAACAAGGGATGCCAGCAACAGCAGCAGTAACAACAACTGATGATGCTGATGATGATGATGAGGGTGACGGAGGAACAACAACGGAATGACGCGCGGGTTTCTGCGGTGCAGGGAGCGACACCTGCTTGATGCCCACGGAAGAAGCAAGCCCCGGCAGTCCGCCCGCAGCCACAGCCGACAGGGCCTGCTCCACCTCCACGTTGGCGCGTGCCACGACCACGACCGCGAACCCCGCGCGCGAAATGACTTCCGGACGAATTTCGCGGTTCGTCAAGTTGCGGAAACACCATTCGGCGCCTGATGTGGCGACGCCCATTACGTAGTGCTCGTCGGCCGCCTCGACGGCGTCCAACACGGCTTCTAACCGCCGCACTGCGCGATTGTGTTTCGGCGTGGAATCTACGTCGCGCTCCATATAATCACAGTGATGACTGCTGTATATCTCGGGGCTGATGGGTATAATTATTCCTGCGTTGGGGGATACACTGATGAAGAAGAATTTTGGATATACGCCGGAGAAAATGTCAAATGGTGGACTGTTTTAGGGCAATTAAAGAGCGGGATACAGGTGCTGGTCTCTCGATCTCTACAACAAAATTAAAGAAAACAGAAAAAAATATGTTGTGGAGAATTTATTATTCGTAGAGGGCAAGCATAACATGTTTCTATATATGAACCCTCTGGGTCCAAAGAAAAATGTATTATAGATTGAAACCCCAAAATACAAACACCCCAATAACATAAGGACAATTTGACTTGGAGACACTTGGAACTTTAAAAAATCTAATCTGGCAATGTATCCAGAACATAAGAAACTCTTTAAGCATTTATAGAAAAATGTAAAATATAAGTTTTTCAAAATGTTGATATCTCTTGAAAAAATTGAGCTATGTATATCCACAAAATTAAAAAATAATTTCATTAAATATTTACTCATACAGTATATGTAATCAAATGAAACAGGTTAATTTTGTGCCACATTTTTAAAGTATTTGTCATTATCTTTGCAAACTGCACAGTATTGCAAGACTTGCACTTGTATGCTTTTTGGGGTCCTTTTGATGTCACAATAAGATCAGATTATGTGTGTTTTTTCTGCAGAACTATAGTCAGTATCTGCATAAGTTGAGAAGCATATTTTATTTGATTTTTTGGGGATTCATTTCTAATTTTCAATGAATAACCGGAGAACCAATTGATTATGTTCCTTTTGAATTCAATTGTAAAATAAGATCCAACATGTGGATGTTTACTGACCCTGTGTCAGGTTCGTGGTTAATATAGGTGTAGAACCCCAGAGTGTCTCTTTCAACAACATTTGTTCTAGTAAAACTCTGTCGTGTTCTCCCTCACGACTACTACTACTAGTATTTGGTTTACTATTACAGGTGGACTCTCTCTCTGTACAATGAAATTCAAGGAAGCAAGAAAACTTGTTTTTGAGAAAGTTTTGTTGTAGAAAATTCCTTATAAAATAGAGAAAGAACCCTATATATATGATGGGACCAAAAAATCATTTGATCAAAAAAATATTTGTAGGCAAGATCACTGTAGGGATATTTTCATTGTACAGTAAATACATTTGATATTTGTTTATTGAATGCCAGGAAAATGAATCTGAGTAAAGTTCAGCCATCATCAGAGTCAACAAATCATGGAGAATGCATTATCTCAGCTCTTTACTAAAGTTCCTTCTCCTTGCTTTAGAAGTTTAGATAATCATGTGGCTGTTTTTTAAATATCAAAATGAATTCCACTTGATTGATAGGCTGGTTAGCTCAGTCGCTGATGAGTGTAATATCAATTTATTTTCAAGTGCTCACTTTAGCACTGACCCTTATTCCCACTTATCCTCCCAAGGAGGAAGACATTTTTTTAAAGAGGAAAACTGGGTTATTTATGCACGTTGGTCATGAAGAAATCTGCTGCTTTCTTTCTGGTTCACAATTGAAGTAAAATCAGAAAAGTGACAACCACTTCATTGGCCATGAGTGGGCTCAGTGAGTTTTGCCAAAAAATATTTTGGCAAAACTCACAAGCCATCCAAAAAATTCTGGGTCAATAAGCTAGGGTCTGCACTTTTAATTATACAGTTTTTCTTAGAAAATCTTGATGCTCCTCTGACTTTAGAACTCAATTAAATACAATAACCCAAAAGCCTCAAGAAATTTGAGTTCCAGCAGTGAAGTCTTTGCAAATAATGATCTTCTTATCAACAATTCCAGCTCACAGCACTTCTGTTTGTACCTTATCTGCCTTGGCTAACAAAAACTATTCAAGCTTATACACACTTTCCAAAGCTTACAAACATTCCTCTGGCTTGGATTGTGTTTACCAACTGAGAGCATACTGTATATTTCAGGGGGTCTTTGAAAGCATACAGAGAATTCTCTGAGTTAAACTTCCAAGGACCAGAAAAAATTCAAATGATGAATTTGTGTTTGGGGGATGAGCACTTTAAATAGGGGGCAGAGAGAAGAATGGCGGGAAAGTGTGAATGGTGAATTTCTAGGCATTAAAATGCTTCTGTAATGAGTTGAAAGGATGCTGAACTTTGAGTCAAGGGATCATTTTCCCAATTTTTCTTTCACTTCCTTTCAAAAAATCAAAACACATCATTACATTTTTATCGTTTCTCTCTTTCACATATCAATGAAACAATAACCAAAAGTCCCCAGAAAATTGGACTTATTAAGATTTAAGAGAAAAAACTTTCAAGTAGGGAAGGTTATTAATGCATTCTCTCTGAATTAATTCAGACAGGGACTTGGCAACAATTCTACATAGGGAGAAATTTGACTTTGTGAGGTCTGATTCATTAAAAGCAAACCATATAAGTAATATTTGGGATATTGGAAAATTGAGACCAACAATTCGAGAATGGACAAATGGAGACAGAAAATTTGAGAAAGGGTCAATTTGAAACAGGGGCAATTTGAGGCAGGGAAAATTTCAGAAGAGGACTCAAATTTAGAAAAAAATTATTTTAATGAGGAGAGGAATTTGCTTAGATTGTTTTGAAGATTGGAGTTTTTCCTTGATGAGGAAAACTCATTGACAGTGGTGATGGACAAAAAGGAGAAACACCCTGTGATCATGGACTTTTCACCAAACAGTGAAATTTTTGTTCATTTTCACACCTTAAACATAAGATAACAGGGAGAAACACAGTCAAGTCATTTTGTCTCAAAATGTATCTGTCTCAAAATGTATCTGTCTCAAAATGTATCTGTCTCAAAATGTATCTGTCTCAAAATGTATCTGTCTCTAAATGTATCTGTCTCTAAATGTATCTGTCTCAAAATGTATCTGTCTCTAAATGTATCTGTCTCAAAATGTATCTGTCTCAAAATGTATCTGTCTCAAAATGTATCTGTCTCAAAATGTATCTGTCTCAAAATGTATCTGTCTCAAAATGTATCTGTCTCAAAATGTCTCAAATTCTCAAAATGTATTTGTCCACATCTCAAATAGTTTCAGTCTCAGATTTTCCCTCTCTCCAAAAGTGTCTGTCTCAAATTGTCCTTGCCTCAAAAAGTTTCTGACTCAAATTGTCCCACTTGTCTGCAAAAGTGTTTGGCTCAATTTGGCTTTCTCTTGAATTTGTCCTGTCTGAAATCATCTGCCTCACTTTTTCCTAGATCCTTTCACCAAATAAGATTCTGCATTGTCCTGCAATATACAAAGAATACTGCCTATTTTTGTGTCTATTGTTCCAAAACAATCTGCCTAGCAACCCATTGCTCTGAAGCAGACAAGGTCATTTGTGTGTGCAACACACTGTCTGGTTTGCAGTCATTTCCCTTGTGCCCTTTCTATAGCGTCCCCATTTTGGTTGCACAGTTGCATCTGGCTTTACTCAAATCTATAAAGGCACCACACTGTTTATGTACAGATATTCATTGTTGGTCTGGCATTGGTTGATGTAGCAAGAAAAGCACAGCAACACTCTATATCAAGAAGTCATATTCATTATGGACCCCAGCTATAAGAACTAAATCTTCTTGGTTTGAAGTTATTCTTGAGAGTTTACATTCTTCAGATTAATTACTCTCTGGGGAGAGACATTTGCCCAAAGACAAAAGCGTCTTTAGATAATTCTCTCGCAATTTAGGATAACAATCCCTAAGATTTATATTTCAAATTTTCAATATTACATGACTTTATATACTGAATCAAGAAACTTTTATGAGGTTTTGAGCGTCAGAGGACCAACTGCTGAATATGATGATCATCAGGAGTGTGACACTTCTATAATGTAGGTAATATTTTCCCATCCATATATGCTTTAGAATTTAAGCTTCAACTATTATTGTGTATGGCACTTTCTCCACATCATTTTTGACTACAGGTATTATATTCAGCTCATCAGACCAGGTCTCATTCCATCTTTTTTATGCAGTGATCCATTCTGTGGTATTCCAGTTATTCCCTTCTCTCTCGCAATATCTTCCGGTATGTGACCTGTGTTATGTGTCATTCGCTCTCTTATTTCAGTTAAGTATTATTATCCAGCATAGAATAATCGGGAACCCGAGTATGAATCATTCACAGGACTGATGCACTTTCGAAGAGATGCCCTCGGGCCAAGATAGCATTCTTTCTTTGGAATGCAACCAAACCAGAAGAAGAAAATGTGGATCACGAAACGTCAGCATTTTATTTTAAGTTTACCGTATGTTTCCTTTAAAAAAAAAGGAACAACCAATTTTCTAATCATTCGCGCTATTTAAGAAAAATGGATAACATCAGGTTGATTTGAAGGCAAGTCAAATTCTGGAGAGCGAACTTATTTGATTCGGAATTTTAAACGGATTTAAGGTTTTTTGAGCATCGAAAGTTCACTATTTAATGCAAAATCACTGATTTATTTTCTGATTTTTCTGCAGATTTTCTTGCATACTGAACTTTTGGGAATTAGCAAATTCGTTTTACTGGAGCAATTTTATTAATTTTTACCCCTGCTTTGATTAAGGCTTTCTTTATCTGAGAAATTTTTTTCTTTCCATCATTTTCGTTGATTGGTCCTGAAAATGTTGGAAGAAAGGATCTCGTATTCATAAAAACCCAGTTTTATGAATGTCTTGATATGGAAAATATGTATAACATCTAATTACCAAGGCTTTGACGAACTTAATCATTTTTTCCATCCAGTCAAAAAAAATCGGCGTGCATAATTTTAATCTTGACATTTTATTCAACTTCATTTTTTGAGCAAGCAAAATTATCTGCGCAAATTTTTAGCACACTGTGAAACGAACTGAAAACAGTGATTATGATGCAAAAGTTTACACTTATTCTCATTTTGCTGTGCAGTGAAAAAATATCTTAAAAATCGAAAAGAACTTCCAAAGTCCTAAAACTTCCTACTATAGACAAAGAAAAAATGAAGTATTTTTCCACATGTTTACCAATATTCAAAATATCCTATCCCTTGCAATAGTGAGAGAACCGTGGTATAGTAAGTACTGTATTTACCTTACATGAGTACCACTTCCTTCTTTTTTCTCAAAATTTAGAGGAAAAAAATGGTACACATTATTTTATGAATTTTATTTATTTTATTTATTTATTTATTTTATTTATTTTAAGCTGGTTATAAATTTTTCAAGAAGGTTTAGAAGATTGGGTTTGCATTATACTTGATTCTAATGAAAAGTTTTGGACCAATTTTATAAGAAAAACTTATTTGTACAGAAAAAAATTGAAAATTAGTGGAATTCAAGTTAAATTTATGTCATGATTGAAATTTGGATGCTCTTGTTTTTGGAATTATTGCAGTCATAGATTCACTAAAATGTGTGTGTGTCTTACTTGGGGATACAATTTGATCCACATTTTAAACTGAAAAATCTGGGCTTTTGACTCTTACTCAAGGGCACATGGTTGGATCAGTGTTATCCCCAACTTTTGGTCCACAGACTGGCACCATAGTCCACAGAATGTTTTTTTTTTTTTGCCAGTCCACAGGAAATTTTCTAACAGCATTTATCATACATTTATCAAAAGTAGCAATGAAGTTTGTTATCTTTATCTGAAATTTTGGGAAAACAATGGCCATTGAAATTATCTAATGAAAAATAAAAGTTGGCCTTTCTCATAATAGCACTCATCCAGACAAATGTTCACCTTCTGTTGCGGGTCAACTAGATGTCGCCTGCAGCACAAGGCACAGCAAGGAACCAAAAGTATGATGCAGCAACAAAACGCCATGTTGTACAAGAAAACAAATTTGAGAAAACACCAACATAAATAAACATTTTTTTAGAAGAAATCAAAGCACAATGAAGCCTGAAGATATTGATCTTCAGGAATCATTCCATCAAGTGAATCATCACGTGATCAAAGGAATTATGCAGAATTACGAACACACAAAAATAGTCACACCCCAGTGAAAACCTTGGAGAAGCTTTCCTCTGGGGAGGACCTGGACCTGTGAAAATTCATCAGAAGAATCAATCAATCCTGCTCTGAAACTTTGGAGAGACAAGACCTGTTTGTGTGTGACATACTTTGGCTGAGAACATGGTGAACTTTGATCTATAAACAGACATTGAGGAGTTTGAAACCCTCAGGCCACAAACGGCCCATTGTGCTTGTTAGTTTATTTCACTATAAACCAAATCTTTGTGGTGAGGTCTCAGGGACCTCCCACACCTTCTGCAATAAGTTATTTTAATTCTTCATTTGGAGAAACCCATTTTCAAAGCCCATCTTCCTAATTTTTTGATGATATTCCCTTATAGCTGCTTCATTGATATTGAGTCTTGACTTAATTTTTTCAAAAAAAAAATAAAAACTTTTTAAATACTTACCATAAAGTCCCTCACAAAAGACATTTTTGAGGCTGCACAAATTTGATGAAATTTTGCAGAATTTGCTGTTGTTGGAAATTTGCCAGTTTATGTGAATAATTTCATGGAAATTTCCCAGTCTGCTGGCCATAAAAGGTTGAGTAAAATTGCCTTGCATCACTTTCTCTTCCGATTTCCATAAGTACTGCATATTACAACGTCACAGTTTTAATGATCTGTACAATGTTTCACCATGAAATCACCTCATCAAAGCGCTACACACTTGATCCCTATCATCATTCAGCAGTATCCCCTCAGGGGTTTTCTTCCATCACTTCTATCAACAGGTCATTATTCCACGGAAACACTCAATCAAGGAAGGAAGGAAAGAAGGGAATAGGAGAGAATCGTCTCGTTTCAGCAGCTCGGAAACGGAAGTTTCCCCACGACAACGCCTTCAAACTGCGCCAAATGCATGCGGACCTTATTGAAGCAAACTTTCCCACTGAAGGGAATAATATTCCCCAAAAACCGTGTTTGCATTTTCCCGATATCTGCTCCTTGCCTATAGCTGCTGCTGAGTTTTAAACTTCGGACGTGAAGCAAACGTATATACACGAGGTGACTGAGGAGACCCAAAAAAAAAAGAAGAATAAACAAGTAGATAAATAAGAACAATGACTAAAAATAATCAAAGTTCATCAGGTATATATGCAGGGAAAACGCGAATGCTTATTTCCCTGTATCTTTTCTCTTTTTTTTTTGGGTGTGAATGTGTTACTGTTCGTTCCATCTGTATATTCAGAGTATATATAACAGGCAGGAAAAATACTCCTTGCGTAAATATTTGCGCGCCGAAAACGATAAATTTCTTTTTTGGACCTGGGTGACTTTTTTATAGGACACGATGAGCTGAAATTCGCGAATTATTTTATTCCATTTTCGTTAATAGAACCACGACGCTCCTGTTTTTCTTGCCATAAACAAAATAAATAAAAAATTCGATGCTGTCTCAGATTTCTGAAATTGGCAATTTTGGAAGATAGAATCAAGTAAAAAATTGTCATTCTCTTCATCTCCCTTCTCTATTGTGTTTTTCCTTACCCCTAGTGTAAAGAAAAGTTCAAATTCAAAACTTTTTGTAATTCGCGCATTTTTATAGCAAGCGAAATTTTCTGTGAAGCGAAATTTAAAAAAATACAAATTACTGTAAAATATTCATGGAATTTTTGGTGTGAAGTATATATGTGATGAATTTGATGATTCATTTATGCATGCAATGCAATCATCATCATTTTTTTTATATAAGGGGTGGTGAAAGTAATTTATGCTGGCTGGAAGCAAAACATTTCATTCCTATTACAGTGAAATCTCATTAAAGTAAACTCCCTGGGACCTGATAAAAAAATCTGTTATATAGAAACGCGGTTTTAAAAACATGTATTGGTGAAATTTTGTGGGAAATGGGTATTTTGACTTTAAAAAATCATGCTATGTATCTTTTGAAATATTGTATTGAATTTTATTTTCAAGAAGCTTCGATGTTTTGATCAACTTTATAACTTCCATGCACAAAAATATGCAAATTTTCATATGCGGAAATTTTTGGAAAAAGTGGCAGGGATTTTCAGCATGTGGTCAAGCAAAGATGTACTGTATATTGAAATGCAGAATTTTTGCTGTAATGCAATCATTTGAACACTGCAGTAGAATTCTTCAGTCTTTCAAATAATGCATGTACATGCAGTATATTGAAGATTCCAAGAAATTTAGCTGCAGTGTTTATTACAGATATGAAGCTGCAAAAAACACATTCCAGATGCAAAAGACATCTGAGAGGGCTGATGCAGTTACCCAGCCTCCAAGGGATTTAATTTGAAGTTCAAATCTACATTTTTAGCTGCAAAAAAAAAATGAAGCTGGGGCATCCCCACTCTTTGAATGCTAAAACTAAAAGAAGACTTATTATTGGCCCTGATCACAGGTATCAAAAGACACAATCACACACACAATCAGCAAATAAAATCTCAAACTGTGGGATAAAAACTTGCTTCCAAAATAAGATAAAAATGACCAAGCAGAAACTGTTTTGTGTATATGGCACAGCGCAAAAAATTTCACAGAGCATAACTCTGAAAATTTTGGACTTACAAAAACCTGCATATGGACTTAAATTATGGCTAAATATGTTCTCTAACTTTTCTTTAATCATAAAAATTGATCCAACAAATGGATCTTGAGATATTCACACTTTTATGAACCTAACTTTTTCTTTGGCAATAAGAAATATCTGGAAAACATTTGTGCCAGATTCTTATCTTGCTGATGCACAAGCTTTTGGTGCAAGCAGTGACTTCAAAAGCCTTGTTCCCCAACCCTAATGCATGAATGACTTTATTTCTGCAAAAACTGTTTAATCAACTAAATAGCTTTTAGAATTGTTAAAAAGAAAAAAAATCTCACCAAGTTCTTCCATGATGCTGTCTGATATGTTCTTCAGCCTTATTGTTATATTGTACACTTGTCACACCAGCACTGAGCTCTGAAACACAACTGAGTGGAGAGTGGCTTTTCCATATCAAGTTTCTGACAAAAAGTGAAACTGTTATCTCTTACAAACAGCGCACAAGCTGCCTGAGAATACTTAAAAAAAAAGAATATGCTTTTTTTTAGGATATGAGGTCATCCATTGTTGAGATAATGCATGACGGCTACTGACAGCAGTTTGAGTATGCATTTCTTGTCATTGTGATTCATTTGAGGATGACTAATTCAATATGGCTTGGATATTAAGAAATTTGGGGAGAAAATTTGATCCAAGTGATCAAGTGATTTGGAAGTGCTAGAACAATGGGACCTTGGAATCATACTTCTCTATAAAGGAGACTCCCCAGTAAAAAAAAATTAAAATGGGACAAGGAAAAGTGATATATTGCAGAAAGATATTTTTGTAGAGAATCCCTATATCATGGGGAGACAACCGTATGCAGGGACAAAAATAAATCTTTGTTTTACAGATGAGAAAACTGTTGCAGACAAGATTATTTTAGAGAGTCCACCTGTAGTAAAAATTCTTTATACATAAAACCTAAAAAAACAACACCCAAGAGAAACCTTAAAAATGAAGCTTCATGAATAATTATTTGTTGTAACAATACATATTTGTTGTAGGAAGAGCTTTTTTAATACAGTAATTTTTTAAAGACAATTTGCTGCAACAAGATTTTGTGTAGAACAATACTTTGTGACAAATGTTGTTCTAAAAAAATCTATGGCAAGATTTCCAGTAAAAAAAATGTGTTGTGGCGGATTTTGTTGCAAACATTTGTCAGATCCATGTTCTACATGTACATTAATAAGTTTCATTCCTCAAGCCGCTTTCCTGGAAAGACTTTTTTTTTACTCTATTCTGCAATATTTGAGAACTGAAAATAGGATGATAAAAACATAAATGTATCTTCAAATGCTCTGAGCTTGCTCTGATTGATTTTGTTGAACAGCTATAGACTCAGCCTTGGAAATTCTAAGTCTTTTTAAGAAACCCTGTGTCTCATCATTCATCATTACCATACTTTGATTTTTGATTCACAGCCAAGGAATGACCCAGTGAGTTCTGTGTTTTCTTTGGCAATAAGAAATATCTGGAAAACATTTGTGCCAGATTCTTATCTTGCTGATGCACAAGCTTTTGGTGCAAGCAGTGACTTCAAAAGCCTTGTTCCCCAACCCTAATGCATGAATGACTTCATTTCTGCAAAAACTGTTTAATCATACTAAATAGCTTTTAGAATTGTTAAAAAGCAAAAAAATCTCACCAAGTTCTTCCATGATGCTGTCTGATATGTTCTTCAGCCTTATTGTATTGTACACTTGTCACACCAGCACTGAGCTCTGAAACACAACTGAGAGTTAAGAGTGGCTTGTCCCTATCAAGTTTCTGACAAAAAGTGAAACTGTTATCTCTTACAAACAGCGCACAAGCTGCTTGAGAATTCTTTAAAAAAAAAATAATAATATGCGTTTTTTAAATATGAGGCCATCCATCGTTGAGATAATGCATGACGGCTATTGACGGCAGTTTGAGTATGCATTTCTCGTCAGTGTGATTCATTCGAGGATGAATAACTCAATATTGCTTAGATTTTATGAAATTTGGGGAGAACATTTGATCCAAATGATCAAGTGCTTGTGAAGTGCCAGAAGAATGGGACCTTGGATTGATCCTCTTCTATAAATGTGGTTCCTCTGTACAAAAAATTCAATAAGGGACTAGGAAAAGTAACATATTGTAGAAATACATTTCTTGTAGAGATTCCCTATATCATGGGAAGACAACCTTATGCTGAGACAAAAATTAATATTTTTTTTAAGAGAAAACTTTTGCAGACACCATTGTTTTAGAGAGTCCACCAATAGTATAAATTCTTTTTACTATACATGCAAACGTAAAAAAACATTCCGTCAACACCCTACAGAAACCTTCAAAAATGATGATTCATGATTAATTCTTTGTTGCAGCAATATTCCTTGTAGGAAGAGCTTTTTTGATGCAGCAATTTTTTGTAAGACAATTTGTTGCAACAGAATTTTGTGTAGAACAATACTGTACTTTGTGACAAATGTTGTTCTAAAAAATATACTGTATTACTAAAGATTTCCTGTGACAAAAAAAATTTTGCGGCAGATTTTGTTGCAAACATTTGTCAGATCCTTGTTCTGCATGTACATTAATAAGTTTCATCCTCAAACCGCTTTCCTGAAAATAAAAAATTGACTCCATTCTGTAATATTTGAGAACTGAAAATAGTATGATAAAAACATAAAAAATGTATCTTCAAGTGCTCTGAAAGAGATGGATTTCCAACTTGTCGATATCTGAGTCGGAACCTTTAAGATTCAGAAAAATTCTTTGGGACACAGAGTAGTAAGTAGTAATGGTATGAAACTAAAAACTAAGTGTCGGTTCCTTACTGGGTCACTCAAGACACGAGGAATTTTTTAGAGAAAAAATACGGATTCCAAACTGCATAAGGAAGTGACTGAATTTCACTTGGACTCCACATGCACATAGTTATCACTAAAAAATAGGTATTTTAATACACAGTTTCCTTATATTTTCTTTCCTCTCCTGAGGTTCATGGCAAATTGAGCCCTTGACTTCCTCTTCTCTTCTTCATCCAATGGAACTATGTCAATTTGACCAGCAAAGAATGCATCCTGGATATCCATTGGGACTAGGCTGAAACTAAGTCCCTCTGGCAACAAGGCCAAAACTCTGTCCACCTTTGCCTGGTCTGCTGGCTTTCCATCTCCAGGCACTATCAAAAAGCCAAAGTTCTTTGCCAATTCCACTGTTTCCTCATCAATGCTTGGTGGGAGGGTGTTGGTCTTTGGTGGCTTTTCTGTGGTTGGCTTTGGAGGTCTGGTGGGTTTGGGTGGTTTAGGTGTTGGCTTCACTGGAGTCTCTTCTTCCTCCTCCTCCTCTTCTTCCTCCACCTTGATAAAATTGCGAAAAAATGCATCAATCACTTTTTAATTTTAAGGTTGTTCATGAGGCTTGAATTTCATGAGATTAAAATGAGAATAGAAAGCATTTTGGGCACAAATATTTAAAGCAATGTTCAGAGTCAAACATGCTGATTTGGCACAGATTACAATCCCTTTGCCCATTTCAATTTATGTTTTCATGATGTGAAAACTTGGCCCCACATTTAAAATTGTTTAATGATTAGTGGTAATATTTGAATTTAAGGTTTCATGAGCCATTGCAGTTAACTGAATTCATTATAACCATAGAGGAGACAATTTCCCCAAATTTTGAACAGAAAAAAATGGGGTGAAGATCATACTCAAATGCAATTCTGCTCAGTTAATTATAATCAGTCCCCACATGTTATCTGTGAAAATAATGTTAGGTGTTGCACACATATGGTTGAATACTGCAATGTTCCCCAACCCATTGTCCTCAGGCTGGTGCTGGTCCCCTGAAGTTTTTTGCCAGTCCAAGGAACATTTTTCTTTGGCATAATGATATCAAAAGTAGCAATGAAGTCTGTTATCTTAATCCAAAATTCTGGAAAAAACAATGGCAGTTGAAATGATCTCATGACAATTAAAAGTTTGCTTTCTCATAATAACACTTCAGACAAACTTTCACCTGCTGAAATAAATCATTTCAATTTATCATTCTGAGAAGCAGTTCTTGCTCAAGCCCACCTTTCTAATTTTTTGAAAACATTCCACTGCTTTTTTGGTTAACTTAATGTTTGCTAAAAAGCAGAAACTCTTCAATGACTGCCATAGTCTTTCCAACAAATCCTTTTTGAGTCTGCAGAATTTTTTTTTCTGGTCCATGGGTTGGGGAACACTGGTATAGGTTATATGATACAGTATATGAATGAATGAATTTCAAATGTCCCCCTGGATATTGAAACAAAAATTTGGGGAAAAAGGCAATTTGAAGTATTACATAGTGATTTCCATGGTTAGCATAGATGGGCAAAGGTGGTCCATAGTGGGTGGATGGCTTCCCACAGGGTGAACCTCCAATGAACCTAGACTCCTGTGGCACACAGCCAACAGGACACACTCCTCTTGAGTCGATTCCATCATAATCATGGAAAGTTGGTATGTGTGGTGCAGGTGGCCCATAGCTTACACTTGGTGCTGTGTATCCATACCCTCCATTGTGTTGGCCTCTGAAACATGATGGGAGAACACTTGTTAAGTTACAGACAATCAATGAAGCGCAGAATTCCAGTAAAACAAGTATCATTTGCAGAAGGAAATTTTAATGCTTATGAGCTTTGTGGAACAGGTTATATTTGGGCTTGGCCTGACTATTTAAATATGAATAATCTAGAGAGCAGATGAGGTTCTCATCATGTGCTCTTCTGCTGAACCATGAAAACTATAAAGATGCCTTTTTGAATTCAATCAAGGAAAATGACTAAGATAAAATGCAGTATTAAGATGCATGACACACTTATACACAAAGATTATTTTTGTCATTCAAGAAGTGAATTATTCATGGATTTTTTTTTACAGGACATAAACATGTTTTAAAGGTCCCCCATAGTTTCTAAATTTCTGGAAAAAGGTTAAGAAGGGCTGAGTCACTGACATATACTTTATAAATGCATGCTTCAAAAACTTTTAGAAGTTACAAGGCAGATATTAGTGTATACTGTAGAAGGTTGAATGAGGATCCTTTATTTCTGGAAAAAGGTTAAGAAGGGCTGAGTCACTGACATATACTTTATAAATGCATGCTTCAAAAACTTTTAGAAGTTACAAGGCAGATATTAGTGTATACTGTAGAAGGTTGAATGAGGATCCTTTAACAGTTCATCTTCTGGACTTTATCAACAAATCCTTGATGAAAAATATGCATTAGATAGGTAATGCCAAATCACTTACATGCACCCCCTGTGCATTCAACTTAGGAACCCATCAAGCCTTCACCATACATTCTGGAAAATTTCATTGCTTGAATTGTTTGAGTGAATTCAATGAAAAAATTTACATACATTCCCTGCTCAATGATAGATGCATATAGCAAAAATAAAAATGTTTTTGGACAATAAGAAGGAACTCCTGCAATAAATTTTTCAAGTGAATACATTTTCTGGACAGAAATACATACATTTTAGCAAAATTATACCATTGAAATATTGAAATTGTTGCCAAGGCAAAGCACATGTAAATTATTGTGGGCAAAACCCAGGCATCATCCACAGGACATACTAAAACCTTTTGAGTAAGATTTTTTTCTTGATCATGGAGAATTGAAAAATGGGGAAATGTTCATGGCATATATGTCAGCCCCTTTCTTGGGAAAAATACAGGCTTTTAATTTTTATACTTTGCTAAATCACACCCATTTCTGGAGGTCAAGTTGACATTTTGGTTTTAACCTTAGACAAAATGTGCTGTATATTACCTTTCTCTCTCTCTCACTGCAACAATTTTCTCAGGACAAATTTTACTTTGCTTCCACAGGGTTCTCTCATCCCCATGTTATGGGGGTTCTCTACACTCAGCAAAATTCTCCCTAAAGCAATTTTTTCTGGTCCCTTGAATTTTGAGGAAGTCCACCAAAATTTCAAATGCTACCTTTCAAGAGACATTTTGTTTTGCATGACAAAACTCATTCAGGAATTAATTATACGTTTGATGAGTGGGGACCTAGGTATATATGTACTCACTGAATTCTGCTAGCCTCCTCAATGATCAAAGGAGGTGGGTAGTGGCGAGCTCCAAACCCATGGAACCCATGAGACCCTGGGTGGCTATGATGGTGATGATGATGAGCACCATCCCTTGCGTTTCTCACTTTCTCTCCAGAACACACGCCCATGCTGATGCAGACCATGGTTACAATAGTCAGAAACCCCTTCATGATTGGTTGAAAAACTATAGAGAACTACTTGGACTTGAGGTCTGGAGCTTTCTGATCGTCCTTTCCCACAGGAATGGTTTTCTTAACCCCCAGAGTGACTCAGCCTGAAATTTGGCCTCAAGATCGTCTCTCGCAATAGCTTGAACTTGCACCAGAACGTGATGCG